AAGCATGACTACCAACAAGTTTTAGTAAAAGGGCTTCTTATTATTTTTTCACCCTTAGTTTCTCAGAGTGTCTAGAGTATTCTCTCAAATGAACTATGCCGAACAATAAAGCTATATTACAAGAATCCTTCACACAAGTATTAGTTTGAGATGATAGGCTAGTTGTTCTCAGAATTCTCTCCTAATTTCAAATAGTGATTAGGATATTAGGTTTCTTTTATTGCTTTATTGCATATCGTAGAGGAGTACTCTTTCAGAATACCTTCTAAATTAAGGCTTAAAAAATTGAGTAGAAAACCAATTTAGTTCTAATTATTAAGCGTAGTCTATCCAATACTCATATAAGGTAGCAAAGAAGTAACATTTTTTAAGTGTTAGGCATTAGCATGTCATATTCGTTTTAAGGCTTTGTATATCATATCTTGCCTTCATTTTATTACTCAAAATCCTATTCTTTAAAGATAAGTGTTCCCTTAGACACTATATTTTATATTTCTTATGTATTTCATAAAATAATTAATTACTTACCCAATTCACTTTTATAATTATAATACATAGTTTCACCTATATGTTTGATAAGCAGGAAATTAGATGAAAAATTTTAAAATTATAAATTAAAACTATTTTCAGTTAATTTTTGATTACTAACGTCGCATAGTTGAAGACCACATATTTTTAAATGGATTTCGGTATAAAATTAGGATATGATGCCTTAATATCATACCGTTGCCTATTTATTTTTCTTATATTTCCTACCTTTATAGGGTTCTCCATCAATCGCACCAGTTTCAGGTCCTGGTGTAATGTGGGTTCCAGAGAAAGAGGCGGTGTTGAGTAATTTTTTTAACTCGTTGTTAACAAAGCGGGGCACAAATGTCTCTTCTGCTGATGTACTTGCAGCCACTGGAAATGGCGCTACAGTAATTCTCAGTGGTACTACTGGAGCATCTGGTAGTCAAACATCAATTTTACCTCGACAAAGCTCAACTACTGACAATAAAACCTTACCCGCAAGCCGTAATTAAAGTAGCCTCTTGAGTTCAGTTGTGAAGGCTTAAACTTTTACTCTAAATCTATTTTTCACATATTGCCTTAACAAAATTTATTTGTAAAAATTAATTTTATTTAAGTCTGTTTGTATTATTTTCTCTTATATCTAGGTATAATTTATTCTAGTTCATTTCATATTATTCTTTTGTGTTTAAATCTTTCTCATGCCATGAAGGATAAATGCTGGCTTATCTGTCATATGAGAGCTATTGTTAAAGCTGATAGTGATTCCTGAAAGTGCTCTAAGAGTGATACCAATATATACATTATTTTTATCCCACATTTCATGTTAATTAAAATGAGCCAAGAATTTTTAAAATTCAATCTTTAAGTTTTTACATTTTCTTTATTTAAATAAATTTCTTTTCATAATTAAGCTATCGTTCAAAAAGCTGGAAATGAGCGAATTAGTTTGGCTACTCCCATATTTAGGTAGTTTAAACTAAGAAAGTGTATCTCAATGCCCTCCAACCGTTATCAGCACGATAGGCTGATAATATAATTGTAGAGAAGTAATTTTTAGTTTAGAATACTTGAAAAATATACTT